ACAACGGCTGTATCCTGTTTTATGAACTGTATGTGCGTGTGTGTGGTGACGGTGTGTGTGGTACAGTGTGTGTGTGTGTGTGTGGTACAGTGTGTGCGTATAGATGCAGCGGACAGACAGGTCTCAGTTGGTTTGGTGTCCTCTGCTTACTTTTAATAGGCTACTTGTAAATACAACTTTTGGCCCGTAATTTATTTTCCTCATTGTAGCGACCAGAGAGGGGGGGGGGTGTGTGTGTGTCCGCATCTGTAGCCTGTTATTGTCTCATTATACCGCACTGTGAATGAATTAAAAGTAAATATATAAGTGGTCATGAACACATCTGTCCATCAGACAGAGGGCTGCTGTGCCTCCTGTCATCATTAATGGACGTCTCTTTAAAATGACCGCTCAGAGGAGAGGAGTTCTCATTTCTCTAACCGCCTGCTACTTCCCCTCCTCTCTCCTCGGTTCCCCTCCTCGGCCCCTCGGCTCGCATCTTCTGTGGGCGGGACTAAGTATCGAGGATAGGAGTCGAGGAGGGGAGTTAGAGAAATGAGAAAGGGCCCTGGTCTTGCCACCCACTGGAATGTATTTAAGTTCTGCTGGAGTCGGGCAGAAGGGGGCATGTCCTTGTACTTACCGTAAAGCCCCCCCAGAGGGTGACACAGTTAGGGTAACTGGAAGACCACCGTTTTAAAAAGTTACAAATCTTGCAGTAATCAAATAAGTAATCAAAGATACTCATACAAGCACTTGTATGAAATTACCCAAGAAGTGATGGGTTTTTTTTTTTTGCATGTAACTTGAACTTTGAGCAAAGCATTAAATCCCCATTATAAATCTATCAATGCTTTCTACTTGGTAGATCTGTGAAGGTTTTCATAGTCATTGCTTTTATAAAATAAATATATTTCGATTTCAAATGGACTTTTATGTCAATCGTACTCTGTTTACATGAGGTCTACTCATGGAGCATACTGCTTGCGCCGCGACAATCGTCGCGTTTTTGCCGACTCGATCCCATCAGCCCATCGTAGCTCGCCGTGATCGTATAGTGGTTAGTACTCTGCGTTGTGGCCGCAGCAACCCCGGTTCGAATCCGGGTCACGGCATTGCGGTATCAATGTCACGGCAGATGGGTTGTCTTTTAAACAGATTCAAATACATTAGGAGAAACTCACTGCAGTTTAAAAAAACAATGCAAATATAAAACACAAATGTGCCAAAACACATGCAAATGAAAAAACAAATCACCCACGTGCCAGCAGTGGGTTCAGTTTTTTTGCACATTTATTTATTCTTGTATTTTTGTATCCCTGTATTTATTCTCTATTTATTTATTTGTTACTTATGTCCTATCCTCCATGCCGTCCTCCATAAGGCTACTGTATATGCTTAATATAAAAACACAAATGTGCCAAAACACATGCAAATAGTCAACAGGCACTCCGATCCCAGCTGTGTGGATCACACTTTTTTTTTTTTGTGTTTAGTGTGTCCCTGTTTACGTTGTGAGTTTCTTGCAGCATTTTTTTATTTGAAGCGTTTTGAATTTGCAGCTTTTTGTTTATGCAACACTTTTAGTAAACGCTAAGCGTGTTTCTTCAAGTTGGTGAATGTTTTCTAAATGTTGTGCTCGTGTTGTGAAGTGGATGAAAACGTTTATTCATTTGCATGTGTTTTGACACATTTGTGTTTTATATTTGCATTGTTTTTTTAAATGTAGTGAGTATCTCTTTGTAATCTTTTTAAAAGACAACCGATCTGCCGTGACATTGTTACCGCAATGCCGTGACCCGGATTCGAACCGGGGTTGCTGCGGCCACAACGCAGAGTACTAACCACTATACGATCACGGCGAGCTACGATGGGCTGATGGCAGAGAGCCGGCGAAAACGACACCAGGGTGGTGGTGTAGAAGTATGCTCCATGTGTATGCCTCATGTACACAGAGTACTATCCACATAAAAGTCCATTTGACATCTAAATATATTTATTTTATCAAAGTAATGACAATCAAAACCTTTACAGATCTACAACTCGGGAGCATCGATTAATTTATAATGGGGATTTAATGCTTTGTTCAAAGGTTACAGTTAGCCTACATGCAAAACAAAACATCACAACAGTTATTGGGTAATTTCGTGCTTTTATGAGTATCTTCGATTACTTATTTGATTACTGCAAATACAAGATTTGTTGTAAGAGTAACTTTGTAAAACGGATCTTCCAGTTCCCCTGACTGTGTCTCCCTCTGGAGGGGCTTTACGGTAAGTACAAGGAAGTGGGAGAAAGCTTAACAAGCCGAAAATGTGCCGAAACACATACAAATCGTCAACAAGCACTCTGATCCCAGCTGTGTGGATCACTTTGTAGTGTCCCAGTTTACGTTGTGTTTTGAGTTTCTTGCAGCATTTCTTTATTTGGTTAATGTTTTCTAAAGCAGCACAATACACAGGATAAATCAACATGAAAACTGCATGGCTGGGATTGAACCCCCACCTTCTGACTCGACAACAGCTCTTCCTCACAGCCACAGCCAAATGATGGGATGTTCAGAAATAATGAAATCATAGCCGGAGTGTCCCAATCGAGATAACCGTTTTGTTGTTTGAATGGAGGTTCTTATGGGAAAAAAACCCTGAAGTTTGGTAAAGTTGGATACCGAGGCTTAATTCCATTGTTTCTAAAGGACATATTAAAGAAACCTTACTGCCCTGGTAGCCTTGTGTTTTATGAACATATGTAAACAATTGGACTGTCACTTCCTGTGATGAGTTTCAACAAATGTTTTTACAATATCTCCTCTGACAATTCCTCTCCTCCTCATGTCAAAGTGTACAATATGTCAACAGACATGTACAAGGTAAAATACCATTGAACAGATTATAAAGCTCGAAGGCAGAAGCTTTTAATGTAAGATAACGTTATAATATAAGGTAATAGTAAGAGATTAATGCAATATGTGTATGTGACTTAAGGGTGTAAATGGATATCTTCCAACCTGAGGGTCAGTGTTTCAACTCCCAGCATGCTCTATTGTTTTGCTATTTTACCTCACTGAGCTGCCGGGGAAGAACTCATGCAAGTTCTTTCAAAAATAATAGCTCTTACAAACTCTCGAAAAAACGTTTGTAATTGTGGTGTAAAAAACGGAAAAGGTAGAAAGATATTTAGGCTTAATTCCAGTTTTTTCTAAAGGACATATTCAGGTAAGCAAGTCCCATTCTAATCCTAATATACGAACGAGTCGAGCCAGTAAAATGTTGATGAAATACATGTGGGTGTATTTGGCACAAGGAGTAAATGGATGTGGGGGTCAGTGGTTCAAATCCCCAACATGTGAGAGGCAAAACCGCAAACTCCATTGCATATTTTATGGAAATAACGAGGCTGTGGTAATTGAAGTGAAAGAAATAAAAGATAAAAACTGAAGTTAGGTAAAGTTAGAAAGATAATGAGGCTTAATTTCATTTTTTTCTCATTACCTTATAAAAGGAATATTTCGATTTAAAATGGACTTCTATGTGAATCTTACTCTGTTGACATGAGGGCTACTCATGGAGCCTACTGCCTGCACCACGATATTGATCGCGTTTTCGCCCGCCCCCATCATCAGCCCATCGTAGCTCGCCGTGATCGTATAGTGGTTAGTACTCTGCGTTGTGGCCGCAGCAACCCCGGTTCGAATCCGGGTCACGGCATTGCGGTAACAATGTCACGGCAGATGGGTTGTCTTTTAAAAGATATCAAATGAATGATGTATACTGGATTAAATTGGTATCGTATATTTTATGCAATGAAAATGTTTAGCATTTCAAAAAAACTTATGGTGGTCTGATTGGTGGACTTTAAGCAGATAGGTATGGTGGCCGGCAGGTGCAAACGCATTACAACGGCCCAAAACATTAAAAACAATGTGAATGTAATAAAGCAATGTCTATAAGCGATTGTATTATGACACATTTTCAGTTTTTATCTTTCCATGACATTTCTCAATATTGTTATTTCCCCTTTGACAAAGATTTTAATATAATGACTTTAATGTGTTCAATACAGGCTCAGGGATGGACCCAACAAATCTAAAGAAATCTATAGATTAGTATGTTAAGGGGCGCAAGAAAATCAGCGACTGGACTGTGTGGTGGTGACATAGGCCTACCTGCAGGTGAAGAGACAATTAATGTATTTTACATTTTGTGGAGAAAATATGCTTTGGTTTCACTACAGCCCACATAATTGGATACAAAGGCAAGAAAGGTAAGGCAGGCTGAAAGTTCATTACCCTGCTAATATGGAGATAAAATGTGAAGGGTCCAGCACTTTTGAGAAAGAAAGAGAGAAAGAGATTAAAAACTGGTTTGGGGCACATGGAATATAAATAACACCATGGAGGAATAAGGTGATTCATAAGTGTAAATCAGAATCTAAATAAAGATGGGTAAGGCTGACCCTGAAAATCTCACTATCACCAAGAGGTCGAATCACATCTTTGGAAGGATTGTATCTACATTGCATTAGACAGGTCCACATTTTCCCATGGTGCCACTCAAATAGTCCTTAATCAATAAACATATATATTGACTTATAACTCATCAACCACCAATGTAATATCAGTTAGCAACTTAATGTAATTCTGGTCAATTAAGTCAAAAATGGTATGCCTATTACATTACCTGGATGATAGGATCAACGGCAGTGTTCCACATCTTTATATTAAGGACTTTGACAGCAACAAGTACTAGAAAAGTAACCTTAACACGGTTTACTGTGTGCGCTAGCAGGCCAATTTGTGTTCCCAAAGTCTAAGTTTTTGACAGTGTAGCCAACTCAAATAAACACACTAGACTAGAGTGAGTTTAATGTCTATCTCTTTTAACCCTGCAATAGCCAGCCAACTCCAGCAGAGGGCAGTGGTGGCGGTGCAGAGGGGAAACAGAGTCTGCATTTCTTCAGTAGAAAAAGAGTTTAGAGAGAAAGCACGCAGGTGGGTAATGTCAGCTGGTGGACAGAGAAAGTTTCAGCAGAGTTTGTGCTTGTTACTGTATGGCTGATATTTCCTGACAACAAACGTCCAACAAGGGTGGAGAAGATTTGAGCTGGAGTATTGTTTTCCTTTCTCATTTACATTTGTGTGTTAAAAAAAGAGACTGCTTGTTTGGAGATCCACTTCAACAGGAGGACTATTTCATCAGAATAATACTTCATCCATTCATCCCTCCCATCTACAGAAAGGCTGATCAAAATCACGCACTATCTAAACAAAACCACACTACCGGGGCAGATGGACATTTACAGTTTCATTTTGTATTTTCAGAGCTTCAAATTGTTTGTTTGGTTAATTTCTCTTCAACTTGAGTCAGTGGAAGGACACTGAGACTCAATAATTTGTCTGTTCACTGTTAAATAAATTATAGGCCTACTATCCTACTCAAGTAAAGAACAAGTCTCTCAAAATTGTATTTCAATATCGTATTTGATTAAATCTACTTAGTTACTGCACAGTGCACACCACTGCGACTGACCAATGTTTAACTTGTGAAACTGAAGCCTCTTGCTGTGTTATTATTCCCACCATGTGTCTGCAGTATGGTCTGCAGTCACGACGAACTGTAGCCTATCGGAATTTCGGCTCCACTCGTTACCTCTGAAGGCAGCCTCTCAGCCATTGCTATGATTGGCGGACGGACCTGCCACTCATCACTTGTCCCGCCCCGCAGCATTAGCGCGGCATGGCAACGGCGAGGGGGGAGCAGGTACCTACGGTTAGGGGCTCCAGTCTAACCGGACCACAGAGAGTGCAGCAGCAGCAGCAGCCGTAGTAGCAGCACTATTTCCCGCCTCACTGACTGGAGAACAGCGCTGATAAGAGGATGCTCCACCGCCACCGCCGCTCCGCTCCCTCGCTCACCAGGTGTTGGACTAAACAAGGACGTCGTTAACAGCAGCAGATCTTGTATGCATGTGCTGTGTCTCCCTGGTCCCGTACACAGACGATCGAGAAGATGCTGAGCCGACTAATGAGCAGCAGCATCAGGAGTCTGGACCGGGAATGCAACTGCACTGTGAGGCTGCTGGACGACTCGGAGTACACTTGCACGATCCAGGTCAGTGGGGGCCAACATTTGCTCTTTTTCAAATCACTTTGTGGAGGACGTGCTATTGACACGTAAACTGGGCGGTGATCAGGTGAACATGATTCCCCTCCAAGCTCATCTTTCCAATTTCTTAGTCTGCTGCAAAGGATGTGTCATCATACCTGAACTCCATTCACCGTCACAGAACATGTATTTGATTGATGATATGTGTGTATGGCCAGACGTGTGGTGTGTGTCATCAATGGGCTGCAGGCATTGCTTTCGTCACAGCCCGTCACAGCCCATACCTGTGTGGACAGCATGATGTTCATTGCGTAGCAAAATCAAGGAGGTTCAATTTGCACTATTTTGAAATCCAACAGAAGACACACAAAAAACAGAATCTCTCTTTAAGCTTTTGTCATCAGCAGCTACTTGCATGCATTGATTTGAATGCATTATGAAACAAATCTGTATAATCTGATCAGGAACGATTTCAGTGGATGGATCAGAGAGGATTTATGGCTGCATGAGACAGGAGGAGGATGAGAGGTTTTTGTTCTATAACCTCTAGTCTAGAGGTTTCATGTTATTTAGATTCTAATTAGTCTAACAGAGGCTGGGCAATGGACACAATCTTAATTTGTTTTAACAAAGCAGATATTATTTCCCTTGATGTTAATTTGCCCTTCAGTCTGACCCTGGGTTTGACCATGGAGAATTCGATTGCTATGCTGTTTGGACCCCAGGATGAAGCCAATGGGAATAATGATCTGAAAACCTCTGTTACTTAGTGATCAAGTAAATGCATGGAAAGCTTCTTTTCATGAAGATGTGAGCCAGTTGCAAAGGCCAATGCTGTGGGCTCCTCATTTTTTAGGATTCCTTGTTTTCACTTTGTGGTTATTTGTACGAGCTGTAACAGCAGTACATCAATAGTTTTTATTTATTGTTGATACAGACGCAGCGAGGCATTGATTCTACTTTGCAGTGACTTCTGAGACTGCAGTTTTTAGTGCTGTACTAAGGAAGAACTAAAGGGGAATTTCTGTTTACTTGGTGTAGATTATTTATTTTGTCTTTCATGTACTTTGGTAGTAACGCTTGAATCTGCACATTGGATTAGGCAGTCAGTCAATCAGTCTCTTACCCAATGTGTCTCTTGCAGACTTGTTTGAATCATTTCTCTTTATTTCTTGTGCTTCTTGAGTCTTAAAAATCAATGTATTGACACAAATGAAGGTGAGGCATGACTGGAGTCAGTAAACAGTTTATATGCGAGAGCAGAGGAGTAGGAGCAAGTGATTAACGTCCGTGACTTCCTTTGTAAATCTTGTGTGTGTGCGTCTTTCAATGTCTTTTGCGCAGCTGCATCATTGAGGAGTCTGTGTGCATCACCTTACCTGGTCCTTTGAGTTGCTGGAGCTGCGTTTGAAGCTTTTTACTCCAAGGGATTCCATTACTGCTGAATTAGAGATGACAACACACACACAAAGACCAGCACCACCTGTTCATTTCTAAGATCTGACAGCAAAGGCAAAGGAAGCCGTTTCAACTTCTAACAGCCTACAGTGGCAGTGCTCGAGGGACACATACAAAATGGTGATTTTATGCCGGTCTCTGGTCCCTGCTTGTCCTCATCTGTTACTAAATAATACCTGTTGCCAACTGGTTGTGCTAGCGACTGGTAGTGACCTGCACCGCTTGGGGTAAACTTTGTATCAATACATTTTTGAGAGAAAAATCGAAATCTTTTGGTTTTAATGTTAATATTCTACGAAATAATTACTCATGTATTCTTCTGATGGCAGGGCGAGACATGTTTTTTTTTGATGAGTGATGTTTACCAAAGTAAAGCCCACACTGGTTCCTCATTGACTTTTAGAAGCTCTTTCACCCAGTCGTTATTCAAAGTGTTTTGACTGTCTGTGCTGATCCCACTCTTTTAGCAACTAAAAGCACACAGCAGGGACTGAATGCTTAATTTCTAGTTCAGCTTCTTTTGAGATGGATAAGCCCTCTATTGGCATGCTGTATTTCATTATTTCCCATGATGGATATATATGCCATTAGTTCACACCATGGGTGTCTTGATGATGCACAACTGGTCTAAATGAAAACATAAATAGGATCATGGGCTTAATCAATTGTGTATTGTTAACAACAACAACGTCACCATTTATTTCTGGCATTATGATGCGAGAGCAAACATTTAGGGAGTAGTATTAATTATGTTTTACACAAATCGTCTGCCAGGCTAAATAAGCTCTGTTGAACAGTAATTCTTCATTTGCATGATAAAGGACATCACAGTGACCTTATGACTGACTACAGAGTTGGCTCGCTGAAAAATGGGAGCGGATGTCTGCTGTCCTTCCCTGCACACCTTGGAGATATGGCCTAGAATGGAGGCCCCTTGTGGGGAAACACCAGTGACACTCTCCATTTAGCTCAATTAGCCTACAAGTTGCACTGCTATTGTTAATCTAAAGTCCTATCATAGTGGAATAATGGTTGATATGACCTTCATAATGGAAAAAGCTGTGAAGGCAGCGTGGAGTGGCAGAAAATAAAAAATGTGAAGACTACTCTGGATGTTTTAACATGTATAAAAGGGCCTCAGACCAATGCCTTTGCCCATTAGACTGTCAGGCTTCTCTGCCACCCTCCTCAAATTCCAACACCACTTATTTACCGCACCCATACTGTGTGCCTGTCCTCCACTCCTCCTGATGACATTGTTACTGATAACATCATGACCCTGGAAGCATAGGATAGACTCATGTTTATTGATTTCTCTTGTCCTTTCACCACCATTCATTCCTTCAGGATATTCACCAGGTGTCTCACAGTCGCAATACTTGGATTGGTGGGGGAAATGTTGGAAGGGGCTGCAATTATAGCGCTCAATTATACCTATAGAAGCTTTAGAGAAGTCACCAGCAAAGAAATATAAGGTCAGGAGAGACAGGATCAGAAGCGTTACTGTGGTAACCACGTGGTGTTAGCGGCAGCACAAAGGCCCATGAATAATAATGATTAATACAATTATTTAAACCAGGATTTTAAAGATACAATGGATGGGGATGCTAGGCGTGGCAACAATCAGTTGTGATATGGAAAAGCCATCCTTGATTAAAATCAGACTAAATATGGGCTAGTATTTTTTCTTCTTCATCATATTATCATAATCATCCATGTTGCCAACTCCTATATCTCATTTTTGGCCAGCACGGTGGAAAGGATGAAGCTTTCATAAAGGTGATGAAATGTTTTGACATCAAATCCCATTAAAAGACAAAACCAGCATTTAATTGAGCCTACAAACAGCTATAGTCTGTGTTGGCAAAGCCTGATATATTATATCTGTGTGCATAGAACGCCGTTATGGTCTAAAAACCGGAAGAGAGTGCTGGTGTATCTCCAGGAGGGATTAGTTGGAGGAGATCAGGCTAGCGATAATGAGAGTTTTACAGAATTGTGTGATTATTGTATAGTTCTGTGGGGTTTACTTTATGCCCCTCAACTCTTTACATTAATTACCATCTTGCTATCTTTTGTTCTGGACACTTTTTTACAGTGTAGGTTTAGCCATAGTCCAATCCCCATAGAGCACTGTAATGAAAGAAACGCACAAATACGGGGATTATTTAGATTTATCTTTTGTTTGGTTTGTTATAACCTGGACGGCTTTGAATGATCATAGAGTGTGATTAAACAGCAACGATCTGCCATTGTTAATCAGCAGTATCGCTTCAGACAACACAGAAGAGCAGAATAAACACTCCAAGGTCCCAGATAGTTAGTTTGAATGACTTTATTATAGTAAAATGCAAGCTATGACATTCAGAATCAACATCCATAGCATGAACTTTACAATCATACACTCGATAGCTTTTTTTATTGAGTAAACATAATGTGGAACACTTTTTACCATCAGGGTAAACATCTGAGGCCGACACAGTGGGGCATTTGCTCGAAATGAATATTCCTACCATGAACCATTGTATCAGAGATTGAAAGTAAGATGAATGATGGGAAATCATTGATCCAGAGAGACATAGCTCATCACTGAGTGGTTCAGTCACCTGGCACCAACTCAGATCCTGCAGAGTCCACTAATGAAATTAAGGCCAGTCTTTTGAAGCCAAATGCACGACTTGGAAGGAGCTCGTCTGGTTTTGTGTTGTGAATGCATTATTGAAATATATTGCTCTTGTCTCCTAAGTGGTCTCTGCACTCATATTGTTTTCTTCTCTGTCTGCACTGCTCAAATTGGAATAGAGGATGTACCTCATTGTGTGTTGATACATGTTTGAGTCTGCTCAACTGTTGCCTTTCGCTTCCTAACTAAAATAATGATACTGGGCATCGTACCATTAAATTAGACATATGTTTCCAAACTAGACCTCGGCCAAATAACAACACGCAAAGGCTTTTTATATAAGAACCATGAATGTCTGTACAATGTCACGGCAATCCATCCAAATGTTGCTGATATATTTAAGTGTAGACCATAGTTGCTGACCGGCATTGCAATCCATAGTGAAGTGCGATGAGTAGGGCTAATCTTGACTATTCCTTTTTTGCATTTTCTGGGAAAAGTAAAACATTCAGGCTCTTCTTACGGGCTTCTTTATGGCATGTATTACATTATATTCTAACAGTGAACGTCAAATGAATAAATAATCAAAAGCTCACTCATTATGACACCTTAAGGAAACTTACTGACAGTCAAAGTTTTCAGATTGGAACAAATTAGATTTTCGGATACGCTGTTGCGAATAATCTCACTTCACTTAGAAACTGCTGTCAAATTGCCTTTGATCGCGATTCTCAGCCTCAGCTCCTGTGGATCTGCTCAGCGGCTGCCAACAGAAACCGCTTGAGTTGGGAACCTCCTAGATAGAAGCTAAAGGAGCTTAATGTGAAATATTATAAGGTTTTCGGTCTGTATTGTTAGACATGTTGATAGTAACTTCATTGTTCCCTGGCAGCCTCCCTCACACCACAGCTAGGAAATGCCTCAC